GTGGTTGGTTCACCGAGCCGCAGCGTGATGTCACGGCGTATTGTATTTCGCTTATCGGCGCCGGATGCCGATTCCTCGTTCAACCCAGCAGCATTTCAGGAATGCGAATGCCACGGTTTTCTACTGCGACGGCCAGCGACAATGAAGGCGCGACGACGAAGACTACGACCTTCGCCCCGAGATCGACTTTGCTGCACCCCGGCTAATCGATATACCTTCTACGCGTTACGCCTCGTCTGTCGTTTCCGTTTTCTTTTTTCTTCGCTCGAGGTATCATGTGAGATTGTCCTCCTCTCGTGGAGGAACTTCCGCCGTTGGCGTTTCGCTGATCTCTTTGGCTCGGATCGAAATTTCGCCGTTGAAACTTTTGTCGCGTACAATCGTTCCATTTTATAGTAACACGGTAATTATTATAATCTAAATTTCCATTTTTAATGCGCAAAAAAAAATCAAAGATTGCAAAATTAAAGATTAACAGAAACAAATTTCTGTTAAATTTCCGGCTGCGTAAAGAAACTTGAGAAAGATACTCAAAGTGAATTTCTTCCATTTTGCATTTAGTTAAGTGCATTTAAATGTTTGTATATCGGAAACGTAGAAATGGGAAATATGAAGGGAAAAAAAAACACACCGGACAAATTTAGACAAAGTATCGTACGTTGTTTCGCGGAGATATACGATTTCCGATATTCTATTCATTTTAATCCGCCCGTTTCTATTAGGACGATTTAATAATATGCGCATAAACGAGCTACGAGATTTTAAATGCGCACTTAATTAGAGTCGATCAGTCCGCGAGTTTCGATTCTTATATTATTGGCGGGTATCGGATTTCCCGCTTTAAAGTCGGCTACGCTTCTCCCGTGCTCGATCGAGCGGCTGGTTATTATACGGAGGTTGTTACCCATAGTATCCTTTTCTGATCGGGGACTCTCGTGTACGTGTGTAATACAGTTTGTCGCGGCCATCAGATCATTGCGGATCGCTGTTATGACAATAGTCGAGCACGGTAGCGTATCCCTGTTTTCAAAACACCGCCTCTCCTCGTGTGTACGAGGATGATCCTGGCTCTCGCTGGCTGCAGGAAATTGTACACCCACGGATGGCAGGGTCTGAAAAGAGAGATCCTCGTCGCTA